CGTAGGCACGCTGCACGCGGAGCTGCCTCTCCTTTGGAAGAGATGAAAGCTTGGTCCGTTCCCCACGCACGCTGCATCATGATGAGTTTTCCTCCATTAAAGCAACCCCAGCAAGTGAATGACAGTGGAGGAAATTGCTGAGGACTTCTGCAATGCTCGTCTCTCATCTGCCAGATAAAAATTATATGCGCCGTTACTCTGCCTCACCTCCGTAGGGTTTTGGGTTTCCTTGGTTGGTGGAAGTTAATGGCAAGTAAAGTCCCTTACATAAGTGCCTCTCCATGGAGACTTCGGTCTGCTCGTTTAAGTAGGGATCTTCTCAAAAGTTAGATTGCGTGACAAATTACCCACACGCACATGTTGGTATTTTCAGCAAGGGAAGGTAAAATGAGGTTGATGGCATTAGTTTAGTTTCAGGCGTTTTTTTAATCGCTATCCCAAAGTGACGTGATGCAGAGCTACCCCTTACAAGTGTGACGGTGCCTTCTTCACCCTTCATCCACAGTTCTTCCCAAGGTGGGCTGCAAGCACAGAGGACGAGGTGATGGGAGTCAGTGCCTCGGCAAAAGGCGATTATTTTTTTAGGAGAGAAGTGGGATTTGCTCCTACCTTGAAGGCATCCGAGCAGAGTCGCTGCTCCTGCAGGGGGGATGATGGTGGTATCTGCTGTACAACCCTCTTTCCCCCAGCACCTTTGTATGGGTTGAGGACCAGGGGCCACCATGACTAGAGACAGCACCAGGGAGCCTGTGGTGTGGACCGGAGGGTCGTGCCTCCATCACAGCACGGCGAGAGCAAATCAGTGCTGTGCTGAGCCAGGGTTTGGAGCTCACTGCGTATGCCTGAGGCTCCTTTGAGATGCGACTGTACGACAAGCTGCGTGGGTTTGTGTGGCTTTAACTTCCAGAACTCTTCAGTTCAGCCGGTGAGGAGGAGCCGAGCGTTCTGTGTGCTCTCCTTTAAGTGCTCGTTAGGGTCAGGGGCTACGGCCGCGTGGCACCGTGGTGCTCATTGCAGGACTACCCAGAGGGGCTCTGAACAAGCGAGATACCAGAAATCATGGCAGCCGACTCTTCATTAGTCTGGTTTAGTAGGAAATACTGGTTTGGGTAAAATGCTGGACTAACACGACTTTCCTGTCTCCAGCCCTGTCTTGCATCATACAGGGATTTGGACTTGGTTCTGACTTTTCTCCTCATGTGTTGCCACCAGTAAGAAAACTCCAGCATGGTGAATTGTGGTCTCCTTTGCTGAACTTGGTGCCTCAGACCGTCCAAAGATGATGGATAGTTATTAAATAACTGCAGAATTGATGCCCAACAGGAGTTGAACCCAGAGCTATCCAATTCCTGTTCGTGTTTCTGGCACACGGGAGAGCCGCAGGCACCCAGAGAACCAGGGTGCTTCCTGGCAGGCGCGGAGATGGGGCTCGCCTCCGGGACCCCCGGGACCCCCTCCGCAGCCCTCGCGGTGGAGCGAGCAGACCTGCGTCCTTCAGCTTGCTGTGATGTCAGCTGGGAAATACTGTGACAAAAATGGAAGGATGAGTGATGCTAAAATGATCAACAGTGAAATAGCTGGAACCAGCCAGTCAACCTGCTTTATTATTTTATTTTTTTTTTCACTTTCCCTGCTGGCCTAAATGTGTCCTGTGCTATTCGGTTCCCAAAACACTTAGAGTTTCTTTTTCTCCATGACTGCAGTTGCCCTTCAAAATCAGGAGAAAATTTTATAAAATGTTACAGAAGTATTGGTGATACAAAACATAGATTTTAGTGACACAGTGGTGCTTTAGGGTTTGTAGTTTGGACTTTAAACCAGATTTACTGCTTAGGAAATTTGCAACAGTCAGAGATGTCTGCGAGCACACAAAATCGCTTGTGATGGTAAATGCTTCAGAGGTGAGAAGGTCTTTGGATGGCTATTTTGTGAATAGCACTTGAGAACTTTGGGTGGTTGATAGAAAAAAGTATCTCAAAAATTCTACTGTTTGTTTATAATGGGCAGACTTCTTTGATATAGGATGTTACATCTTTTTTACATTGTTTTAATCGTACCTGTTCAGGAAACTAATGCAAAACCAGCAAGCTATCGGCATGTATTAAGTAACCACCTCTGTCTTTCACCATTTTAATGAATTTTTATCAAGTTAAAATACACCATAATTTTTTTTTATTTTTTTTTTACATTCTGAGTATGTTACTTCAGAACATGACATTTTAAAAAAAGTTGATAAGGAGCTGCACTGGGCTGTGGGCAGCGATCTTGTCCTTTTGTGAAAGAGAAGCACGCAGCAAATCCAGACCCTCCTTCACGGCGCAGTTCCCGTCGGAACAAGGCACTGAACCTGCGCTAGCGATGAAGTCAGCGCTGAGGAAATCCACGTCGTGATGCTCTGCTGATCCGCAGCACGTGAGGAGACTCGAGATGGCAAAGCCCTGGGAGCACGTGGCCTTCCACGTGTGTTTTAATGTACTTAGCACGGTCAAGTCGCAGCCTCACCTGGCCGTGGGCACCACCGTGGTGAAAACAAACGAGCCCTCCTAATAATGCACTGAGAGACAGAGCCAAAAGCTGCCAGGAATCCTTCCTGCAGAGATGATTTCATTTTATTGGAGGCAGTAAGATGCATAGGTGGGATTGAGAACAGGGTGGATGAGGGGAGATTGTAACGATACTGCTTGTAGTCTTTGTGTTGGAGCTGCAGCTGATGCTGCTTTTTGGAGTATTTGGGGGCCCTCAGTATTCCTGCACCAGAGCATCTTTCAGCCTTTTTACCCAAAGGGAGGTTTTACACTTAGATTTCGCGGTGCCCGTCTGTGCGATTGAGCAATATAGGTGAAAAAGGGAGGAGAGGTGCTACGTCAGGGTTCAGCTGCGTTGCTCGTCCTCCACCCTCGGTACCATTGTACCGTTCGCGGTTGTGGGTACCACAGACCTTTTGTGTGGCGATCCTCTCGGCATTCAGGTGGGATCCTGGTCCTGTAAGGACCAGGGATGTAAATCGCTAATTCTCCCTATTCCTCTCCGTGGGATCCAGGTCCAACATAAACTTTTAAGATGATCCCTAGCAGGATTAAAGTCCTCCACAAGCAGGCAGAGGCAAGCTATTCAGAAAAACAAGGTCATGCTGCCTTTTTTTTTTTTTTTTTTTTTTTGGTAAGCATAGGAATCAACAAAGCGATGTTATATAACTTCTATTTATATCCCACTTGCTCACTAGCTGCAGGCACACAAGAGGAGCTGAGAAGGGAATTTAATGAGCTCTCAGGGCTTGCTCACCTTCCAGAGCGGGTAGGAGCCAGCTTGTTTTTGAAGTGCGTCAGCAAATGAAACTGGTGGTGGGTGGGTGGTTTGGGTAGGTGGACTGACTTGTTGCTATGGTTTTCTTTAATTCCTCTGTCTCTCAAGAAGATCTTGCACTTTTTTTTTTTCCTTTGGGGAGTCTGCAGACTTCCTTGTTTCTCACACCTACACAGAGCCCGCTGGTTCGGTAAGGAAGTGGGATTCATGCTCCTGCTGTGCAAGAGCCTTGCACAGATTAACTGAGTGACCCGGCGGGTGCGTGCTCCCACATGTATGCAGGAGGAACTCAAATAAGGCGCTGTGCTGCAAGCAGGTCAGGCCCCCGAGTCTCCCACGCTTTGGAGGCCATCTGCTCCGTCTGCGGGGGGTTTAAACCCTGAATCCAACGGTCACACTTCTACCTATCGTTCCCGCAATGTGCCCTCACCTCCTGGCCATCATCACGTGTCACTTTGTTGTCCCAGGGGTTTTGGACTGGCTCTGGAAGGGTGCGAGGGGACCGTACCTCTGTGAAGTTTGTTCTTACATTCTTCTTTGGGAAATGACCTTAAATCGCATCAAGATGTTAGGTGTTGCAGTAGGAGAATGTCTAGGGTATAAGGGCTCTTCCCAAACTAAGTGGTGTAATTCTGGTGCTGCTGCTTTCATTTCGAGCTGGTTGGGAAAGACGAGCGTTTACAGGGGTCGCTCTGTGTACACTCGTACCCTCCAAAATCCTCCTCCGTAAGGTGGGGCAGAATCTCCAGCTAGGAGTAGAGCCTTGGAGGATGGCACGTGGATGCCCGTGGCAGAGAGAGGTTGTCTTCTTTGTGCAAAATAGAGCTGGGAAGTCCCCCTTCTGCTTTCAGGACAAAGTTTATTTTACAGTTTGCAAAGAAAACAGGCAATTGAGGTGTTCTGGCAGATTTTCCTTATGGGTTTATTTCAAACTGTGAAGTATGTTCAGCATGAAATATTTCAGTTGCCATTTCCTTAAGCTATGCAAGACTAATGATATCTATCACTCACACCCCAGAGTGATGGATCTTTAGCGAGCCAGGACGTATGCAAGACTTCAAGAAGAGAGAGGGATCAGTGATATTTAAAATAAATAAATGAGGGGTGGGGGGGAAGAAAAAGCAAAGTTAGGTTTGAATTTGCTGCAGTGGAAGCCCTTGCAATATGTTGAGGCAGAATGTAAAGGGTTGGCATTTGTACTTAATTCGGTGCTTGTGTTAGCAGTGCAGTTCCCCTTAAAATGTGGCTGCTTTGAAGTAGTCCAGCTATAAGAAATGGTACGGGGGTGGCAAGCTCTTTCCGCAAACATGAAGTAGCACAGAAGTTTTGCATTAGTTCATGCTGGCAGCCTGTCCGGATAACCCAAGCAAGTTAACATCCCCGTAATAATTCCTCCCTAGCGCTGCAATAAAATGTCCTGAATTGAAGCCAGAGAGCTGGTCTTTCTCTTGTATCTGGAGGGACTTTCCTCTTTGAAGTATCCCTGACTCGTCAAGTTTATGGGGTATTGTCTGTTCGCTGGCATCAGAGAAATGGGGAGGGAGACCACAACGGTTTGCTTTAATTCGTGAGGCGTTTGCTGGGGCTTTGCTTTCCCTTATTTATTGGTAATCAAATACTTGTTTTCCTGGGGAATTCTTTGGGATCTGTTCGGATGGTCTGGCAGGGTTTAATGGCTGTGGTCTGTTGAAACAGCTTTGGGAATTACGGAGGGTGTGGACCAGAAAAAAATACTCTGTCCGCTGCAGGATGACGGCAATCCCTGTTGGGGCTCTGCAGCCGAATGCTTTCCTGGAGTCAGACCACCCTTCTTTCGGGAGGAAACACGCATCCGAGCAGATGTGTCTTAAACCCGTCGCTCGCTAGTAGGCTTTAGTTCAGTTCCTCACAACGCGATCATTCAGCACGTACGGTCCAGCCTGTCATTACTGAGTCTGGGGCGGAAAGCCAAGCTACTCCATGCAGAACAATCAAATGGTTCTTCCTCCTCTTGGTTGCTGAAACAGTTGTGACTTCGGGGCAGATCCAGCTAACCGGTAACTGCGTAGAGAAAGGTGTTCCCAGGAAGGGTGACAGCACCTGGATAAGCCTTTCAAAGCCACGAGCTAGAACTAAGCTGCCTTCAGCTGGTTCCTTTGTTTTATCCCCCCCCCCCATTTACCAATCGTACCCTGGGCACAGACTCACTCATGGTTAAACTTATTGTGAATTAGTTAAATTTATAGTGGATTAGTTAGCTGGGTGCATACTCTGTGCACCTTACACAAAGGTATCGGTCTGCTGCGTCGTACGGCTTTGCTCTCCCAAGGGCAGATGTCAGCTCTGCTGGTTAAAAAACCAGTTTGGTACCAACTGCTGGTACGTGAGACACGTCAAGGAGCGTTTGTCCGTGCCGTGTGGTTATCCTGCCTCCGTAATCCCACTCCCCTGAACTACCGGGTAGTTAGCTGAGCTTCTCTTCCACTCTTCCTTGGAAATTGTGTATATTCTGTGTCAAAGATCTTGGAAGGCAAGGCAGGAAGGGGGGAGAAGAGGTGAAGTGTGCCCGTTCTTTGCTGATTTTTTTTTTTTTTTAATGTGATTCTACAATCCAGGTTCTTAATGATCTGCAATATTTAAGAACATGCCAAAAAATAAGCACCACTGAAAATTATATTAATTCTGAATAAAATGACAGCAAAAATTTTCAATTTAGAAAAAAAGGTAGGTAAATTTTTAACAGTTTGTGTAAATAATTTGAAGGGGAGAGGATACCAAGTTCCTGGGAAAAACTACAGAAGAGACATAAACTTAGAAAATTTTTTAAAATGAGTGACTGGAAGTTAGAGTTTAATCACGTGTTTCTAACAGTTATTAACCACTGGAACAGACTACAGACAGGCATAGTTCATCGTTTCCGATGCCTTCTAAAGAAAGATAGGATGCTTTTCTCAAACAGATGTGTTACTTAATCACAACTTTGGGCTCAGTTAATGAGCGAGAGCGAAGGGCTGATGGTGCTCAGAGGTGGGCCAGGCTGTAGCCGATCAATGCGTTGCCATTTAAACTTGGCCTTTGATTTATTTTCTAGTGAAATCAGTCGCTTGGTTTGCAGCTCTTCTTCTGCAAACAGGTTTTGCGTGGACCAGGGAAATAAAGTCGTGTGTGGTATGGTGATAGTGTTTGCTTACCGTCCTCCTCTGGCTCAGGCAGGAGGCTGGAGGGCAAAGGTGTAAGAGGGATATTCTGCTGTGCACGAGGTTTCTGGTTGGATTTCTTCAGGAGCAGAATTGGGTGATGGAGAGGAGCGGGAAGGAGAAATCATTGCACAGGTTTCCTGGTACCTGGCGTTACTAGTTGTTTCACTCTGGTATTTTAGTAGACCACTTTGGATGTCAGGAGAAGGAATCGGTGTGGCTGGCTTGGCAGACGTGCGGTGCCCGTGTGGGTTGTTCTCCTTCCATCCCTTTGAAACAAGTACGGGCTCCTTGTAGTGCTTGATGTATCGTGTGCCTGGAAGAGCAGCGGTGTACTGCTGTTTGCCCAGTGCTTCGTACCTGCATGGAAACAGTGCACCACAAAAACATATTTATTCTCCAGGTTTGGAGAGACTTTGAACTTGCAAACCTTTCCACAAGAAGGTTTTCCCCTTGTGTTTCTTAGCAAAGCTCTTTCCATTGCCCCGAGTTAGTCTTGAATGAGTTTGCGTAGGTGGTGGTTGCTCCATCTTTAAAAATGATTGAGAACTCTTTGCATGATGTCCTTGCACATGGTGAGCATAGCTATGTGTTAGAAGCTCGTGCATGTCATATGTGGATGTTTTTGAGTTTCCTTCAGTCTGTGGCTGTGTAATTAATTGCAGTCACATTATCTCTGGTATTCTCGCATCAGAGAGAAGTCTTGGTTCATTTAATCGGCTGGTTGCAGCGCTCTGGAGATGTATTGCATTTCATTGAGGTACGCGTACTTGTAAAGCCGTTTGTTGAATCCGGCATTCATAAAGCAAACCTCATGATCTTCTTTTGTGTCAGGCGATGTCTCTTGTTTAATGGCAAAGGCTCTTAACAGTTGTTAACAAAAACCGGTTGAAATAAAATACGGTTTCATACTGCATGATTTTAGCACTCTGTATGAGCAGGCAACTGGTGCGCTGCCAGCGTCTCGAGTGAAGATGAAGCTCGTAACTTCACCTGCCTTCCAGGTAGCTTTTCCTCTGGTACCTCGTACTGGGATGACCAGGCACGGTCCACATCCTGGTACGTGACGGGGCACGGTGCCCTGCCCGGCTGTAGGTTTCTAGGAGATCCCCAGCTGGTGGTGGCTAAATCGGCAGGGTCTGTCTGGGAGGTGAGGAGCCACCCGGGCTTCTCGGCGAGGGCAGGGCGCTCTCGTGCTGACGAGGCGCTTGGCTTTTGGGTTTGCATCAGTCTCGTTGGAGGCCCTCAAAGGAACGGCTGAGGTCAAACGCCCCAGTGGTACGGTAAAAGCGCTGTTCTTCAGCAACACGCGCAAGCGTAGAGGTTTGCTGTTCCCCTCGTTCCAGGCCGCTCCCCTAGCACGCTGGCTCTTTCGGCAGCCTTGCTTGTGGTTGCACAACATCTGTGTGCAAGCCAGGACCCCGGCATACGGTACTCTAAAATGTTCACTCTTATTTCCGTGTTAAAAAGGGAGATTTTTCCAGTTTCTGCTTTGAGGCTATATCTGTAAAATAAATTTTAGGATTTCTGTCATAATTATCACCACCAATTACCTGCTCAAGCACAACTTGCAAGATCACACCTCTTAAAATACAGTACCTTTGCTAGCTCGCATGTGGCTGATTCATATGTGTGAAGGTGTTAGGCATCCTGACCTAAACTGAAACAATCATTGTGTGACAGCCATTGAATGTACGCACGGTACGCACAAGAAAGCTTTACTGGAAACGTTCGTTTCATTTGTTTTTTTTCTCTGAACTGCAGTGGAAAGTCAGTTAAGAAGCTTGAAAAAAATGACAAAAATCAAGCCTGTCAGCAAGTAACAATTACTCGCATGCGAGGTATTTCTGCAGTGTGGTTCATTAAAGAACTTTTCCTTTGCTGCTGCTTCATCACAGGGAAACTCCTCCTGCACAGGCTCTTGAGATGTGCAGCCAGGTGACAGCCATCGCTCGCCTCACAAGCAAATCACGTTATTTTTCAGAAAAAGGTTACCCTTTCTAGAACTGATGGTTTATGCTGGTCTGTCTGTAAAATATTATTATTGCTATGCTCATTGCGTAATACTGGTAGAGTAAAATTTTCAAATGCAATTTACATGCAAAAACTCTTTCTCTGTCTGTACTTACAGCCGCCGAGTAAGAGACCGTGCTTCAAAGGGCTGGCTGTCGAAATAACCCGTTGGTTACTGGTCAGCAGCTCAGGGAAACCGTGTTAGTGCATCTCTTCGCTATGATTGAAATTTGACAGTATTCTGTCCACTAAGTCTGGTCAGGTCAAAGAACCAATTTAGAATTAAAAAAAAACCTGAATAAGTAACCTGTCATTTGGACAAAGGATGTTTTTATTTGAGTATGTTTTATGAGAATATATCACATAAAGTATTGGATTGTCGGTTTTACTAGACAGTTTGAATGGGTGTCAGGAGAAGGTACCAGCGTGGCTGGCTTTGCGGACATGCGATGCCCGTGCCGGGTTCTTCTCCTTTCCCGCCTCTCTGTTAATCACTAGAAGTGAAAACAAACTCTTTAGAGTTTACCTGAGATGCTCTGGGCAGGTAGAAGGTATTGCAATGGTCAGAGGGGTATCTCATGTGAATATTGACCAACTTCTTTAAATAGTAGCACTGCTCCTCTGTAATCAAAGACGCAATTTTTATTAGTGTTTTCAAAGTCATTCAGCGCTGTTCTGACTGCAGCTGCTTGGGAGTGATCAAAGGCAGGAGTACCAGAGACGGCCTTGTGCGCTCCGCTTCACAGAAAAGCGGGCAGGATATATTGCTATTCCCATTTTAATTTGTTTTTTCAATAAATCAGGCTTCATTCCTATTCATCATGTAAAGCTGTTGGATCGTGAGCCGCTGCAGAATGCTAACTAATTTCATAATACTCTGCATAAGGTGACCCACTTACAAGTTCATCCTTCAGTCGCATTTGAGCTCTGGTCCTGATTTATGTAACAGCATATTGGTTTCATCAAGAATTGTCTGATTGCTCACTGTGTTGGCTCCTTTTTGACCTGTACATGATTTGTATTCTCCTCAATTTTAGGAAGAACTTTGTGTCTCTGTGCACATATGGGCAGAAGAACATTAATAAACCTTTTAAAAAGTAGTCAATGCTTTGAGTTTTTCTGTCGCTTAAAGATACATTGGAGTAGGAATTAAAAGGAGTTTTAAGGAGGCTGGTGCAGACAGGGCAATGGAAACTTAGCATGAAATATCCCTCGTTACTGTGCCCTGTCTGTACGTTTCTGGACTGTGATTAACATTGACTATTGTATGTTATGAGTCACAGTCCCTTTGATTCGAGGGCGGGAAGGCAGGACAGTTCTCGTTCCTCTGTATTTTGCTCACGCTCTTTTGTTTCTGAACTGAGAATCAAATTATAGATAATTCCATTGTCTTTACCTTAATTCATTGTACTTACCTTAATTCCGTTGTTGTAGAGAAGTGTGCTGCCTAAATGTACGAGGGCTAGAATGACTTATTGCACTTGCTTCTTTAAAAATACAGTTGGAAGTTGTTAACTAGGGAGCTAACATAGCTGAGGCACTTCCTTAACATCAAGTATGAGTCTCCATTGCTGTAGGTTTTGGTTTACTGAAAACTAATTAACCTCCCAGTCCTTCAGGATATCACATGGTGCAGAAAGGTGAAATAATCTGTATTCAAACCTGCGTATGAAGATATAGATCCTGTTCCGTTTTCTCTTGCAGCATTCGTTCTTCTGCCGACTGACGGAAGATAAGAAATCTGAAAAGTTCTTTAAGGTTTTTTATGATCGCATGAAAGTGGCACAGCAAGAAATCAAGGCTACTGTCACAGTCAACACTAGTGACTTAGGAAATAAAAAGAAAGATGAAGACTCAGACAGAGATGTACCGAGCAGAAAAAGAGGTACTCCCCAGTTGTTCTGTTTCTGAAGTGACAAGGGAGAAAAATGCTGTGTTTTGAACTCGTTTCAGTTGATGCAATAATGCTCTGATCTCTGATCCCACAGAGCAAAGTTCAGAGATCAGTGGTGCCCTGGCTCAGGATTTCAAGAGCTTCATCCCCTCTTCATCCATTTGTGAGATTGTGCTATTGAAATGATGAAAAGTCTTTCTGAGATGAGACTCTGCCGCCTTGTCTATCGTGACAAGCTGCCCAAATCTGATCCGTAGTAACGACCCTGGACTGTGGGTTGTGGTCAGTGCCTTCTCTAACAATAAGTGGAGAATTCCTCATTTTCTTCTATAGCAGGTCCTTTTATCGTAACTCCTGATAGTGCTAGATGTGTGTGCCCTAACCAATTAATATCAGAATTTTTAACTTTAATGTGATTCGCATAAAAGGTAGGAAGAGAGTGACATGATATCCTTCTAAACTCGAGACCCTCACATCACACTAAACATACTTACCAGAACAAACTGACGATGAATAGCTGGCCTGCGTGTGAAACAGTAATGGGAAACGTGTGAATAGATTTCTCTGGTCCCCTTTATTCAGTTTGCCTAAGGAAGGTCTGTTCTTGTGTGTTTTAGTGAGAGAGCCTATGACCCAAATTACCGAGGAGGTCCGGGATCAGTTACTGGAGGCCTCTGCAGCGACGAGGAAGGCTTACAACACTTACCGGAGGGAGGCTGACCCTGATGACCATTATTCGGCAGGAGAAGGAGCACAGTCTGCGGCCGACAAGAGCAAAGATGACCTGGAGATGAGTGCTGTGATCTCAATAATGCAACCCATCCTCCGGTTCTTGCAGCTGCTCTGTGAAAACCACAATCGAGATTTGCAGGTACAGCCTGGTTATTGAGCAGGCACGCTCGTGTCGCCTCGTGCAGTCACTGCTGTTACGTCGGTCTTGCTAATCCTGTGCCTTTTTAAATTGATACTTGACCGACTATTTTCTTTGGCTTTGAAGATAATCCAAAAAAAAGTATTTATTCCTTGCTGGACAAATACAGGGAAGTCCAGTTATCCAGTGTTCAGTGGTCTTTTCAGTGTATATAAAAGGTGGTGGGATCAACACTCGATGAGACTTTTTATAAGTACATACTTAAAGCAGGCAGATGTTCTGCTGTGGAGTTACTGATCTACTTTTGAGAGGGGAAGGAAAGAGGAAAAAAAAAAATGTCATGTGGGAAATAAAGAGAGCATTGGGACTTTGGTTCCAGCAGCCCTCAAGCAGACGCTTACTTTCCAGCGAATGCGTTCTCACAGGTTTTCATGGACCTGTTCATGTGCATGGAGTTGAACACGTAGGGATGGTGTCAGGAAAGCCTCAGCTGGCGTTGAATCTGGTGAGAGACTTGAAGGGCAACAAGAAGGGTTTTGAGGTTGTATCCACAGCAGCAGGAGACTAGGGAGAGCACGGGTCTGCTGCTGATGGAGACGGGCCCTGGGTGGTAAAGGACATGGAGAAGGCCAAGGTGCTCAATGCCACCTTCACATTGGTCTTTCCTGGTAAGACCAACCTTTACAAGCCCTGGGTCCCTGGGACCAGAGGGGAGTTCTGGAGCAAGACGACTTACCCTCAGTGGAGGAGAATTGGGTGAGGAAACGTTCAAACAAGCTGGCCATGCACAGGTCCACAGTGCTTGGTGGGATGCCCCAGGCCCCTTTGGGAGTGCTGGGTCCAGTCCTGGGCTCTGGAGTCCAGCCGGGAGTCTCAAAGATGACTCTGGGACTGGAGCATCTGATGGGCAAGGAGAGGCAGAGGGAGCTGGAGAGGTCAGCCTGGCGAGGAGAAGGCTCGGGATGTCTCACCCGCGTGTATCAATACCTGACGGGGGGCGTGAAGAGGACGGGACCGGGCTCTGCTCGGCGATGGCCCGGACAGGGCAAGGGGGGTTGGAGTAAACAGTCTCCAGAGGTCCCTGCCAGCCTCAGCTGTCCTGTGATGCTCTGTGACGTGTTTGTATAATTTTAAATAGCGAGCCCAGAACTTGTACATTAGTAATCTTATCTAGCGCGTGCCTCCACAGGAGATAAGATTTTTGCTTACAAATGGACTGCAATTAACGTGATTTTTGTTCAGCATAACCAGTGCTGCTGGATTAGAATTGAATGCAAGCGAGGAGCTAGTGAGACGCAGTACAATGTACTAAATGCCCTCATAAAGGAGGAATAATTGCCGTGATTGCGTATTGTTGTACGGCACGCCAGAAGTGTAGGACCCTGCATGAGTGCTTTTCAGACCTGCCAAATCACTTCCGCTGAACTCGAATGCCCTGCTGCTGGCAATATTTGAAATCAAATCTGTATGGTAATGTTCCTGTGCTGCGAACGTGTAATTCTTTTTAGCATTTTATAGGTGCCGAGGTTACATACATCAGGGTTTCTCCTAATTTTTTCGAAAAACTATTTGATCTTTGTTTTGTCAAACAATTTTCATGCCGTTAGCGATGTCAGAGACAAGTAGGACGGCAGTTTTATGTGGCAGTAGTCCAAACCGCACGCACATGATCCTTTGCTGCTGCTGTCTTTGGCTAGGCACCGAAAGCTGTAGGAGCAAAATTGAATTCAAGCCAATGCAACTTGGCCTGAGCTGTTCACCATCCTGAAAAATTAAGTTCCCCAAACAGCAGGTAGTTGCATTCAGCTCTGGGAGAAAAACGGGGTTTTTTTAAAAAAAAAAAAAGAAAGAAAAAGGTGAGAGGAACAATTTTTCAAATATAATCCTCTTGCTGCTTGCCTTTCTCCTTCAGCCCTGAAGGGGAGGCCAGGGTGTCTGCAGCTTCAAAATCTTTGTGTCTGCAGCTAGCACGTCGTAACTGAACTCCTTATCAATATTGCCAACGGACTGACTGCTTCAAGGAGTAAGACAGACCTATTCTGGGAGCTGTGTGTCTTCCAAAATGGCATAAATTTGATTTGAATTAGAAGTGAATAAGAATCACCTGCCCGGTGCAGCTGTAGGTTTGTCAAAACCGAGTGTTTTACAAGCCATTAGCAATTATGAGTAGCCTGATGTGCAAAAACAGGAAAATGCAAGTCACGGCTGGAAGAGTCGATATGTGTTTTAAAGGAGGAGGGAGCCTTTGCGAAATGGCTTAGGGAGTTGCAGTTCTGCGCCTTTTGCATCACAGTCGTTCCCTTCGCAGATCGCACTGCAGTTTGTTCCACGCTGCACAGTCGGGATGCTGTCCCCTTCCAGCTTACACCACGGGTCTGGAGGAGGAGGTGCAATACCTTCTTCAAATTGATGCGAGGACTGGCACAAATGGGTGGACACTTAAGTACGTTTTGTTACCCGCTTCAGGCTGAATGCATCAAATTTTGCTGCGGAGCGCTCTTGGTATCTCTGCTGCTCTCTCAACACACAGATACTTGGGTGCTCTTATTAAACTTGCATCAGGTCTGACCCTGGTTCTGCGTGAGAGCTCGGCCTCGAAAGCAAAGCTGTCGCGGCTCTGGATTGCTGTAGCGATCTGGAGATTGGTCTCCAGACAACAATCCAGCCTGTTGTCTGCTCTGCTTTGGCCGGGCTACAGCCCCACCGGTTTTCTTCGGAGGTCTTTTCCATCCCTTCTCTGTTCTGAAGGAAGGTGTCCCTGTATGCTACAGAATCAGTCACGAGAACTGAAGCTCGTGACAAGCCGAGCGAAGCATCCGGGGAACGCTTTGCTGGAAGCACGAGCGGCGCTGGCTGGAGGCGAGGGAGAGAGGAGCGGGGATTCCCGGCGGGCAGGGAGCCGTGCTCTCCCTCCGGAGTTGGTGCCGGGGCAGGGGGTACCCAGCAGCCTTCCTTCCACACAGCCCAGCGTGCAGCTCCAGCCGCACACTTGAAAATCCCATCTTCATGGGAAAAACGTAGTAGTCCAATTCTTTTTTTCTTAAGTGCGTTATTTCTGTGAAATAAAAATATTGTAGTAATATGCTAGCCAGTCATGCTCAGATTAAAGGTCTAATTTGGTAGGTTAAATACTGCTTTTGTGCAGAAAAAGTAGGAATTCATACAACTTTTAACATTGGATCTGACTGTTTCTTTTATTCATAAGCCCTGGAGACAAAGCCTAGGTAATAAAGAACGGTAAAGCTCTGCATGCTGCAGGAGAGTGATTCAATTGTTTGGCTAGTGGAGCAGTACGGCTGCATGCAGAGAATGAGCTGGTTTAGCTCGCCATGTTTTAGGCAAGAAGTTTGTGTGAGAATTAACTTTATAAGACCAGAGAGCAAGCCTGTATTCAGGGAAAAATGCCTTGCCTTACCCGATTGCTTGTAAAGAAAAACCTGATCATTTAAAAATACCTCTTTACTAAGACTTTCTTCTTATTCATGTTCGTTCTTTACAAAGTTTTTCCAATTAGGGCTCAGATTTCTGGTAAAACAAAGGCTGTCCAAAGAAAACATTTAGACTTTTGGGGGAATTACCCACTTAAATGCTAGCACTGTTTCTTCCAAGGACTCCGTGTTCATCCCTGCTTGAACAAACCGGGCTAGTATTCTGCAAGTAGCCAATTTGATTTCTAGTCATTGTGTTTTCTCTAAAGGGTACTCGGCTTTAGGTTGTGTGCTGGGGGGGGAAAAAAAAGCCTCCGATGCCTTGACATGCTGTAGAGGCATCAAGAACTGGCTGCAGATCCTGCCTTTGCAAGCGTATCCATACCTACTCATGAATCCCAGAAACTTACCCCGAAGCTGCAGGAGGGGAGATGGAGATGGGATGGGAGGCAGCAATCCTTCCCTGGGAGGGTGCTGAGGCCCTGGCACAGGGTGCCCAGAGAAGCTGGGGCTGCCCCTGGCTCCCTGGCAGTGTTCAAGGCCAGGTTGGATGGGGCTTTGGGCAACCTGGGCTAGTGGAGGGTGTCCCTGCCCATGGCAGGGGTGGCACTGGATGGGCTGGGAGGTCCCTGCCCACCCAAACCAGGCTGGGGTTCTAAATGGGGAGGATTGGCCTCCCTAAGGAAGAATAGTAGTGTGAAGTCAGCTAAGTATCTCCAAAAGGTTATTCACAAAGGTAGGAACATAAACACTGCCTGACTTTGAGTGCACTTCGTCCCATCGGAAAGTATTTCTCTCTCAACTGAGTACAGGGGATCCTTAAAGCTAGGCAGTATGAATGCTCTTTTCCTCCTTTTCTCCGCGAGATCCACAAGCTGCGTATTTTTCATGTGTTCTAGCTGAATCTGCCGTTCTGTCGCTCTTTATTCTGAAGGCAGGGTCTTGCGGACGGTGGGTACCTCAGGTTCAGTCCCGCTGAAAGCAGTAGGATGGCATGTTCAATACTGAAGAGTTGTGTTCCCGCTCCGTAGCCTGTGAGATGCTCTGGGGGACAGAAAATTAGGAGCTCGATCTATGCTGGCTGAGACAGCAACAGACATTCCCTGGGGCAGTTTCTCACAGTGCAGCAGGGTCTTGGTTTCTACATTTTTTTTTTCCTTCCCCTTGTTCAGCCATCTAACATTGTCCTTCTGCCCCCCGTGCCTCATTCCTCCTTTTTTCCTTTGTGTTTATTGCCTTTGGATCAAGAAGCTAAAGCTGGTATAAACCTAGCTATAATCAGAATAAATGCTGTGCCACAGCCAGAGAGCATTTTGTTTCATCGCTTTCGGTATTATCCATTACTTTTGCTTTTTTTTTTTCCTGGAGGGAAGGCACGAGCTCCCATTTCTGTAGCATCAACCTTTCTGCATTCTGACAAGTTAATCAAAAGTCAGGATACTAAATGAGCAATCGGTTGAAATGTGCTGAATCACTGTCACCTTTAGTCTGCATTCATAGACAGCATTTTCCTTTTTTAGCTTAGCCTTCAATTGAATCTGGCAATTTCTCAGTCTGTTTGCCTTAAAAGACTTATTAGTCTGACGCAGGCACGAGAGGCAATCAGTTAACGGCGCTCCTCTGCAGGCTTGCAGAAAAGACCTTGCTGGTTCCATGGTCCCATGCATCTTGTTCGTCTGAGGGGTTTTTCGCCTTTCAAGTGAAGTGGTTTGTAACCTGCTAGAGTTAAGCTAGACAGGAGTTGTCCTGCTGA